ATTATATTATAATATATTATAATTATAAATTTATAATATTATATAATATTATAAGCACAACATTTTCGTATCTCATTACGCTGTAAACTAAGAAAACACAACCTTTTTACATAATCAAATTCAGCCTTTAAATTCTTAAATAAAGAAAATGGTTATTTATTTATTTATTTATTTATTTATTTTTTATGAATACCCCCAATCTTAATGTGAATGGTTTAATTTTAATTAGATTAAAAAATTAAATTGAGTAAAGATATCATTCACTAATAAAAAAAAGGGTAAAATAGTGGTCAACATGACCAATGATCATGCATTATATTTTGTACAGGATATTTCATTCTCATCATCCAGCATATATTTTAATAATCTTAATTACAGTCAAACTCGTTTCTCTCTCCCTTTTTTCCTTTTGAGTTCCTCACAATTATACGTTCGTGTACATAAAATTAAAACTTGAAGGAACAAATTAAACGTGGCTCTGCCACTGCAGGGGGATACACATAAGTCATATTTATTTATTTGACATCATATTATTATATTGTCAAAGTCATTGTACTTAAGTGTATCATTGCTGGTTCTTAATATATACTAAGTCAATAAATTACGAAACTAAAAATTTATACTAAGCGACAATTTAATTTGTTAGAATACTTCTCAACCACTTTTTTATTTTTAGCCGTCTAGTACGTATTTTCTCAACGACTTGAATATTTTCTTTAAAAATAATAATAAAAAAGACTAACTTTATTGTACCAAAATTTAAAACCAATAATTAACCTAATTTATGTTATTTAAATTATAAAAATTTAAAATTTATATTACTTAATAATTATTTAACCAAAAAGTGTAGTTAATTTATATTGTATTGAATTATATTATATTAATTATTAGATAAGATTTAGTTCTTTAATATTGAAAGCCATCCTTATTTAATGATTCATATTTAATAATTTGATATAATTTACATTGTAAAATGAGATTCTCATTATTTAATAATAAACACTTTTTATTTTATTAAAACTCAAAATAACATATATTTTAATTTATTTAATAATATAATTTATATTATATCATTAATATAAAATTTTAATTTTAAGTTTTTATCTTCTAAATAAGATCTTTGGGTTTAATGACGTGTTCACAAGCCTTAAAATTTTTAGTTTTGTTTAGTTTTGTTGGTTAAGATTTCAACCTTCACTAATATTTAAAAAAAAAATCTCTTGTCTCTCAAATCATAGATGGCTCAAAAAAAATTTTTCTATCCTCCATATTAGAACCCTTTTTTTAAAGAAAAGACAATTGTGGAAGAAAATAGAGGTGGAAGGAAAAAAAAAAAAATCGCGGATTGTTGTCGATTCGATGATGGAAGAAGACAAAACATCCTCTTATATCACCACGTCTGAATTCTACTTTAGGAAATTCAAATGGTACGCCCAACAAATTAATTTACTGACGTGGCTTCTTCTCATTGGCTCAAAAATCATTCGATGGAACCCTGACAACTTAGCGCGTGGACCATACCCCCGACGGTCCACCCACGGGTCGTCCTAACGAGAAATCGAAATAACCCCAAATTATCGCGATAAATTAGCCACCGAAAAATGAACTTTTTTATTTTTCGTTTCCCTTCTTTCGCTTTCGTTGTCATCGTGACTTCATACGTGTGCACCATCTGCCACATTTCCCTCACGACCCGCCTACTTCGAGTCTGCTGTCTGCCCGCTAGATTGGGAAAAACTTTAAAAGGTTTGCCCAATTTGCTGACTTGATTTAAAACATCCACTTAAAATGCAGATACAATAATTTAAAGTGAATTAGACATCTTATAATTATAGAGAAAAAATAATGTTAAATGTCAAATTTTGATCCTTTAATTTTGGGTTTTTGCATAATTTTAGTTTCTTAATCTTTTTTATATTTTTTGTTCCTCAATTATAAAAAATATTTTTTTATTCTCACATTAAATATATCCATATATGTGCATTTTTAATTCTTGAATTTTTAAGTTAAAAGACAAAAATTATGTAAAATTTAAAATTATGGCATTAAAAAATATATATAAATAAATTTAACAAATTAACTAATAAAATGATAAAAAAAAAACATTTTTTATAATTGGGATACCAAGAGTGTATAAAGAGGTTGAGGAATCAAAACTGTGTAAAACTTTAAAATTAAGAAACCAAAATTAACATTTTACCAAAAGTAAATTACTCTAATATTAGAAAATATATCTTTCACCAACGATTTGTTAATCTAAATGGAAAAAGTTCAGTTTTTCTTAAATAAAATTTCGAGTTCAAATCTTATCAATGGAAAAACAAATACTAGAAGAGCTTCTTTCATGGGATTCAACATGACTCAATTCTACATTAATTGGAATCCAATGTGATTACTGGATACTGAGAGATTAGTAAAAAAAAAAAATAGGTCCTTCATTAATAATTATAGAAGTATAATTTGTGCACAGGGAACTATATATATTTTTGTAAAATGTACATACAGGGAAGGATTTTTGACTTGTGAATTTTAGTCTACTTATTTGACTTACAAGTTATTTAGATTTAAATGGAGTTACAATCAGTAAAAATATGAAATAAACAAGTTATAATTTGTCTTCTATAATTAAAATAAGACCCGTTTGACTTATGACTTCAATAGGTGAGTTATGATACCCATTTATATGTCTAGTATGTACTTGTGTGTGAGAATCGACATTTAGGGTGGACTATAAGAATTTGTTAAGGCCACTACATTATAGTGGCTGTGTTTAGTTTGATTAATATTTATTTATTTATATTTTTTATTTTAAAAAAAACATGTGATTATGATATTAAAAAATATTAATTTATATAAGTTGATTTTAATATATTTAATAATAAATATCAATTATTTTATTAATTATTAATTATTAAATTTGAGTGCATATATTTATATGCCTCTCTCTCTTCCCTCTCCTTCTTCCCCTCATTCTTCTCCAAGCTCCAACTACTAGGCTCAAATGCAATGGAACCCAACAGATATTGGAGAGATATTGGGGGAAAGGATTAGGAAACTTACGTTTATAGAGTTTATTCTCTTCCTTAATGGAGTAGGTTTGCAAGGGAAGATAGGGATTTCTTTCTAAATGGGATTTATTGGGAAGAGTTTGTTGATTGATGGTTATGTTGTAAATTATCAACTACTATTAATAATCAAATTAAATATATTTATATTTTTCTTTTAACCCTAATAATTCTTTGTGCCATCATATGGGCCGTTCAAAGGTTGGTTTGTATTGTTGTCTTGTCACACCATTTATGTCTCGGGAGCCTTTGTGTTGTTTTGTCTTCTTTTAAGTTTCCAATTAATAAGAGTTTTTCTTTCATCATTAAGGAATATAATAAAGGTTTGGTAGCAACCGAACGATGGATTAGTTTCTGTAGTGAATGATGTTCATTTGTCTTCTATAGCATCAAATTTGGTATATTTGTCTATTGAATTTTGTAAGTGCATGATGAGATGAGATTAATCTCTCACAATTTTTGTTTTTTATTATTAATATTTCATAATTTAATTTAATTTAATTTAT